TCCCCCAAAAAATGCAAACAAAAATAATCCCCGTACTATTTTTTGACTATTTTTGAATAATCCCCCTGTAGAGGGACAGGCCCGACTTAAATGTAAGGCGCGGCGCGCGAAGCAGGCGCTCCTGGCAAAATCAATCACACGCGGCCGACGCCGTGCACGGCCGGGGCTGGCTGGTCCCCGCACCCGCGGCAGCCGGGGCCCCGACGGGCACTCCTTTGGGTGACCCAGAAGGGGGTCCAGCTGAAAGGAGGCGGTGCAATAGATTTGGGGCAATGGTATTGCAAATGTACTGCGCCGCAGACTTGTGTTGCATTGTATTGCTAGTAATGAATGGCACGCGAAGATACAGCAATACATCAACGCCCCGGAATGTATTGCACGCCCCAAGCGTGTTGCAACCCCACAAATCTACTGCACCAAATCTATGGCACCACACCCTTGTTGCTGGACCACCTGTTGGCTCAACCCGAACTCCAAGATAACGGGGACTTTGATCGATGCAAGAGTCCGGCGCTTCCGCGCCACTTAACCGCTTTCCTTTTTTTACGGCAGACAGGCAGGGGACAAGGAGGAATCCGCTGCCCCTCAAGAAGGCTATCATTACCGCACACCCGATCAAAGACGGCACAAAGCACCAGCAATAGCTCCTGACACGGGTAAAACTTGCGAAATCCCCACACAAACAACATGTCGCTTCCGTGCCACTTTCCTGCACACTCGCGCGCGACAGTGGTGCCCTTCTGCCGCGCTTACTGCCGCAATCTACCGCGCTGCCAAAGTACCCATCGCTGGAAAAAAGTGGGCACGACTTCAGGACATGGAGCAGGACGGCGAGGACACCAGAGTAGGCTCCCGCCGGCCCTTTCGAAAAGAGGGAGACGGACAAGCCGCTCGCGTCTTGAAACGGGAGGGCACCCACAGAAGGACATCCGAAACAGCCCTCTCTCAACAATCGACGGGCCCCTTACCCGTCACCGGGTGCCCGACACGGTGGCGCCGACGCCGAGAGTCCGTAGGCCGCCCCTCCTGGCCGGAGGTGGAGGCCTCCGCCTTCGGGGGGGGGCTTAGGGACCCCGCGGGCCCCCGGAGGGCTGGCCTCGCCTGGATGTTGTCCAGGGCGTTGACGACGCAATCCAGCGAGGTCCAGAAGACGTCGTCGAAGACGTCCTCCGTGTCGTTGCCGACGCGAATCTCCATCGCCTCCACCTTCAGGTCCATGTTCATCACCTGTCGGGGAGCGCGGAGGCGCTGCTCTGGCGCGGCAGGACGCCGAAAGTGCCAGTGGGTTCAACGAACGAGGGGCATGATGATAAAGTGGACAAGAGGAAAAGACTGACAGAAAGAGGGATGAACGAGGAGAAGGGAAGGATATATAGAAGCACGATGATGAGCTGGAGGAAGCGGGGAAATGAGGAGATGGAGGAAAAACATATAGCTTTTGACATCAGCGGCCAATTGCCAACGACCCCAGCTAGATGGGGCAAGCTCCTCAGGACCTGGTACCCTTCACCCTAGCTGAGGGTGGAGCGGCGACTCTATACACGAAAAGGACGCCAGGAGAAGCAGCTAGCAGCTAGAGGAGCAGATAGAAAAAGAGGGTGGAGAGGAGGTGCAGAGAGAAACTTCGCGAGATCTCTCCAGAATGCCCACGAACTCCCAAGATATCCCAGGAGCCCTCGAAGAGGCCCGCGACGCCCCGGGAGACCCCGAAGAAGCCTCCGAGAGCCTCCCAGAAGACCCCGAGGATGCCTTCGAGAGGCCCCGCGAGGGCATCGACACACGCGGCAAGCAACGTCGACGCAGGCTGCATTTCATGAACATGCTCGTTCACTGCCCACCTTGCCCAACGCAGGCTGCTTTTCATTTTCATATGGCGCATGTAATAGACTTCATCTAATCACGTTGACCAGTGGCCACGCGCTCCGAAGCGGCCGCAAAGCCAGAAGACGGCCCATGACAGCTCCAACGCGAAGGCACGGCGCTTAAGAAAGGCCGAAGATGGCCCGCCGAGGCGCCCGATACGGACGCCGAGGGCGCCCGACTGGCCTGCCGCGTCCAACCCCACAAGAGCCGAACCCCGCCGAGACACCGACTGAAGACCGCGCCGTTCTTTGCCTGGTAACGACCCGCGTGATGCAAGCACGATGCTACGCGGCCCCCTCCCCGACAAACGCCTTCGGCGACAGGCGAGCGCCTGGATCCCTCTGGAACCGGGGGACCCGGGCGCCGCACGTAGGCGGCACCCAGGGGGAGCACAAATCGGCGATCCTGGGAACTTGAAAGGTGACGCCAAGTAAGGTAGGTGTAAGGCGGCCGTGCAGGGAGAAGGCGAGGCGGCATCTGGGAAAGAGACGCTTTCGCCCCTGGGGGGGGTTGTCAGCGCTTTCGCCCCCGCATCCGCTCTGCAGGGGGAGGGTCAACGCTTTCGCCCCTGCCCTGCGCTCTGCCAGGGGCGGGATCAGCGCTTTCGCCCCCGCCCCCGCTTCTGCCCGCGCCCGCGCTCGCGCCCCCACGCCCCCACCCCCTCGCCCTCGCCCTCGCCCTCGCCCCCGCTCCCGCCCGCGCCCGCGCCCGCGCTCACGCCTTCGCCTCCGCCCCCGCCGCCCTCGCCCAACCTCCGCCCCCGCCCCCGCCTCCGCCTCCGCGCCACAGCTGCCACCGCCGGCGCCCCCGCCCACGCCCCCGCCCCCGCCTCTGCCCTCGCCCCCGCATTCGGTACCGCCACCCTCGCCCCCACACTTGCCTCCGCCCCGCCCGCGTCCCCACCCCCGAGCTGCCACCGCTAGCGCCCCCGTCCTCATTCCCGCCCCCGCCTTTGCCCCCGCCCGCTTTCACATCTGCCCACGCCCGCTTCCACATCGGCTTCCACATCCGCTCCCCAATCCTCGGTCGCCAGGCGCCGCCCATCATTCGTGGTCGTTGGTCGTCCATCGTTGGTCGTCTGTCGTCGCCGTCGCCGTCGCCGACGCCGTCGCCGTCGCCGTCGCCGCCGCCGCCGCCGCCGCCACCGCCGCCGCCGCCGCCGCCGTCGTCGTCGTCGTCGTCGTCGTCGTCGTCGTCGTCGTCGTCGTCGTCGTCGTCGTCGTCGTCGTCGTCGTCGTCCGGAGCGCCACGGATCAGCGGCACTGACCGGAGGCCACTACAATCAAGTAGGTAAGGCGGAAATGCAGGGAGAAGGCGAGGCGGCATCCGGGAAAGAGACTATCAAATGACTGTTTGCCACTGTAGACCCTAAAAGATGCGCTATTGAACATTGGATGCATCATACGCGTAGCGCGATCGCTGTGATCCAATCAACGTGGTGCAGCTCACGCGCGGAAATTCAGGTCGTCAGCGCCAGCGCTCGAGAGCATATCCCATCGAGCCACCCGAAAACTTGCTGGTGGCGTTGATGACGAATGCAGCGACAACTACGATGAAGACGACCTTGATGATGCTGCTGACGAAGGTGGGGGCGATGACGACCGTTATGTTACTGGTGATGAAGCTGATGGTGATGATGCTGGTGGCAATGATACTGGTGATGATGATGACGACGATGATGATGATGCTGATGATGGCAATGATGATGAAACTAAGGCTGATGAGGACGACGAGGGAATGGGCGCGGCTACAACAACATGACTAAGTATCATGTCGAACCAAGGCCATCTATACGAGCATTGAACACACATGTGTTGAAATGCGGTCAACAGACACGCGCGCGCTGAGGCTCGCGAGAGAATTGGCAGGCACGCAATATGTGTTAAACGTGTTCGGCGTGCGTGCCTGCGTGTGATCCGCATGGTGTCATTTCGCAGAACGGTTCCTTCCTGGAGAAAGTGCACGCGGAATGATTTCGCTGTTTCAGCAAACGCGTGCAGATCTCTGAAAGCTGTTTGCCGTTCAGCCAAATTCGTTGTTCAATGATTGGGCTCGCTAGTTATCCATTGTTTTTCAAAGCCTTGCTCGGTGGCGTGCGTATGTGACTCTGCATCGTTTTCGTTCGCAATGGGTTCTTAGAACGAACTACATAAACGCATGTGCACCGCAATGTATGTTTAAACAACGCGGCGGGGATTGGGGGTCGATACCGATTGGCCAATTATATATGATCGGTCGTGTACAACACTATACACATTTGTCTGGCATAATGCCCCAAGGGGGGCATAACGTCCAGTTTCGGGAAGGGAGAACTTGTATCCCCCGCTGAAAAAGATCCGCCACCGTGCCCTTTAGGCACGAGTTGGGCAGTCCTCAGGTCCTTGGGCCTAATCTCTGAAGCCTCAGTCCTCAATCCAGAAGATTCGGGGCGGACCCAAAATTGCTACATCTTCTGGGGCTTGACGCGTACCCCCTGGGGCTCCCCGCGGGGGCGTGTTCCCGCATGACATGTTCGGGGCCAAGAGAGCCCCAAGACGGGCCAGGACAACAGCAGGAGACTCTCAAGACGCTCCAAGAAGACCCCGAATCGCCGAACGATCGCTCCACGATGCCGAATCTGGTTCCAAGACGGCCCAGAAAGACTTCGAGACGCCGTAAGAGACCTCCGAGAGACCTCCGAGGGCCCTCAGCACAAATAACATGGTGCGTTCTCGCTTTTTCGGCTTCGCGACGCTTCAAGGCTGCCCAAGAGGCGCCCAAGACCGCCCCAATAGGCCCAAGAGACTTCCAAGAGGGCCCAAGAGGCCCCTCAAGACGGCTTCAAGAGGGGGCCCAGACGGGGGACCCGAACAGACATTTCGAGCCCTCGGCCCCGAGAGGCCCCCAAGAGACCCCAAGAGGCCCCCAACAGGCCCCCAGGAGGCCCCGAAGAGGCCCCAAAAAGATTCCAAGGAGGCCCCTAAGGGCCTCCCGAGGGGCTCCAGGGGTCCATCTGCCCCCGAGCGCGCCCCGAAGAGTTCCCAAGAAGCATCCCCGAGGACTCAGACCCATAACCCAGGCACGGTGGCGGGATAGGCCGAAGGTTTGTGGACGACGATAAATGGAGAGGAAGCGCGTTGCCAAATCATTTCCAGATGTCTAAAGCACGACTGAAACATGTCTCGAACATGTTAATAACAGTGGCCTCTGGAGCTCTGTTCTTGGGACCTCCCAACCCACCAATTTCTGGCATGAAACCTGCCGATACCCCCCAACCGCGCCCCGGCATCCCCAGGCCTCTGGAACTCTGTTCTTGGGTCCCCACCCGACCATTTCTGGCATGGAACCGGCCGGTACCCCCCACTGCGCCCCGGCACCCCGAGGCCTCTGGAACTCTGGTCTTGGGACCCGCCCACCCGCCAATTTCTGGCATGACACCGGCTAGAAGCCCCGAACAACCCCTCAACGAAGTAGACTGTACCCTGGGCCAGCTCACACCAAGCCCTCCTTGGGGCAACCTTAAGATAACATTGTTTCACCATGTGTAAAACATGTTCGAGCATTTTAAACACATGGGAGTGTGTCAAAGTTCCTGAGGGGCCACCGGTGAGGAGCAACAAATGGGTTTGCAGCGATCCCAATCTGGCCTTGGAGACCATGCCCCAGCCTGCCAGGGTACGGAGCACCACCCCGCCCTGGCGAGCATGACAATTTTTAAGTACCGAAATGAACTTTCCGACTGCTCATACGGGCGTGAGGGAGCCCAAGAGTGGGTCAGTCGGGGAATCGGGGAGTCAACCAGTCGGCCAGTCGGGGAGTCGGGGAGTCGGCCAGTCGGGGAGTCGGGAAAGCGGGGAGTCGGGGACTCGGCCAGTCGGGGAGTCCGGGAGGGAGTCGGGGAGTCGGACAATCGGGGAGTCGGGGAGTCGGCCAGTCGGGGAGTCGGGGAGTCGGGGAGTCGGCCAGTCGGGGTCGGGGAGTCGGCGAGTCGGGGAGTCGGGGAGTCGGGGAGTCGGGGAGTCGGCCAGTCGGCCAGTCGGGAAGTCGGCCAATCGGGGAGTCGGGGAATCGGCCAGTCGGGGAGTCGGGAAAGCGGGGAGTCGGGGAGTCGGCCAGTCGGGGAGTCGGGGAGTCGGCCAGTCGGAGAGTCGGGGCATCGGGGAGTCGGCCAGTCGGGGAGTCGGGGAGTCGAGGAGTCGGGGAGTCGGGGAGTCGGAGAGTCGGGGAGTCTCCAGTCGGGGAGACGTGGAGTCGGGGAGTCGGCTAGTCGGGGAGTCGGGGAAGCGGGGAAACGGCCAGTCGGGGAGTCGGGGAGTCGGCCAGTTTGGGAGTCGGCCAGTCGGGGAGGCGGGGAGTCGGGGAGTCGGCCAGTCGGGGAGTCTGGGGAGGCCGTACCCCAACAAAAAATTTCCGTACCGGGGCAGGCGCTGCCGGGGTGCGGCGGCTGCGCCTCCTGGTCGTAAAGCCTATCATTGAATCGAACATCGAATTTTCAATCCGATGATGGGCTTCTTGGGGTGTCCGTTTTGTCACGGCATCCACAGCCGACGGGCATTCGACAAAAACCTGCAGCGAGAGCCCCACGCGGGGGGTCAACGGGCGGCCACCACCGGGCCGCCCGGCGGTGGCCGCAAAGACAATCGACTTTTCCAGCAAGGCACTCGCCGCGAGCCGCAAACACCGCTTGCGCTGGAGCGCTTATACCTTATAGCGTAATGCCATGTACGCTTACACGTGTCGAAAATATGTGGTTGTTCACCGATGTCCGATACCTACTTTATGGATACCTTGACATGTTTCAGCATACCAGCACCTCTCCATCTATGACCTTCGTTCAACTTGCCATTGCTCGGACGTCCATTCCCTGTGCTTTTTCCGGTTTCGTGCGTGGCTTTTTTCGCCAAATGGTCAAGGATGCTCCTCGATGGTCCTCGCCGAAGGAAAAATGCACACGTCCGAGGGATGCCAGGTCAGAGCCGGGCGAGGCCTCGCGGCGCACCTGGCGCGTGCGCCCGCGCGGCCTCCCCCACGGGCGGCCCCCGGGCGGGGACCCTCGCCGGACGCGGCCAGCGCACGGGGCGAGCAGGGGCGACAATCACCGGGCGGCACCTCGGCGGGCGCCGGCCAGCGCACGGGGAGCCCACGAGGCGCCCACAGGGGCAGCCACCGGGCGAAACATCGGAGGACCTGCCCGACGACTGCAGGACGGGGGGTAGCACAGGGGATATTGAAGGGGCCCTGTGGCACACGAGTAAACAGAGACAAGTAGCAGGAATCAGCGTGTGTTTCAATACTTTCGGGGTTCTCGTCTTCCCCCCCGCTTCCCACATTTTCCCACATGTTCCTGGGAGTCGACGATTCACTGCGTCTGTGTTTTTGTTCCCCTCCTGAGATATGTCGGCCCCTGTAATCAGAACGTGGATTCAGAACCGGTGGCGAGGAGGGAAGGCCCTCGGGGGCCGAAGTTCGGACTTCGTGGGCGGCGGGCGACCAGCGAAAGCGGCAAAGGACGGTCCGCAGAGGGGACGCAGGGGCACCCCAGAGGAAGGCGAACGTCCTTACCGGGCGCGTGGACTGTATCCCAAACTTGAGAGGAGGTTTTCGATTGGACCTGACATTTGTGGCCCAACCCTGGGATATGCGATGGGGGGGCATGCATCCTCGATAGGGGTGCGTCTCCATAGCCCCCTTGGGGTGTATCCCAAAGTTCCCCCCTCTTTCTGAACGGCCACACTTTTCAATCGGAACTCAAGGATTGGGGGAGAAACATCGCATGCGAGAGGAAGAACCGCTGGGTGTAGGCACGGCGGCGTCTCGACTGTGGTCCCGAGCCGCAAGACCTCTGGTGATCGTTTTTTTCACTCGGCGTTTCGACATTGGGCGGCAAGGGGGGGAGAGGGGGGATCTGGCTCCGGAGCTCTGCTTAGTGCGACTGCCTGTTTGCAGCAGTGCGTCCTGTGGGGGAGACTCCACCTGCTGGAAACAGGCGCCCAAAAAGCAGCCAAGATCTACTCCACGGGGGGGGGAGGGGGGGGGAAGGGGCCCGCGCCGATCGGCAAACCTTAAGGAACAACACAACGACCTCTGTGCACGGCGAAGCGCGCCTCGGACCGGCGGGCTCGGGCACCTCGGAGCGGAGCTCGGAACCCGTCGAGGGGGGGCCACTTGGGGGCGAGCCGGCTCGCGCGCGGGGCGACGAGAGGCGAGGCGTCTCCTTTGTTTTCGGCCCGTTGTCGGTTTCCTTCGTTCTGTCGTCGTTCCTTGGCGGCGAGCGAGAGGGAAGTGAGAAGGAGAGAAGGCCTCCTCGGAAGGCGGCGGGACATCTCAGAGGGCCTCGCGCCTTCTGAGAGGGTTTTTCTGCCTCCGGGGAAGGCTCCAGAAACTTCTCAGAAGGCTGGGGGTCTTCCGAGCCTTCTGAGAAGGCCCGCCCCTTCTCACCTCCCCCTGGGGCTCGCCGCCGATCCTTCGTTCTGTCGTCATTCTGCCTTTGCTGCGAAACGAACCCAAAACGAAAGCGGCCCCCGATATCGCCCAAACCCAAAACACTGCTTAGCTCGAGCCCCGAGACGAGGAGCACAGCCCAATCTGAGCACCACCTCGGTCGGGCGCGGCGGGGGGGCGCCTTGGCGGCATTGGCGGCGGTCACCGACTTGGGCTTGCCGACGTCGGTCTGCCTGAAGAGGAACTGGCGGTTGAGGTTAGACACCTGCGGATGCGGAATGGGGAGGTGCACTCCTCTTTTCACTGCGGGGCCTCAAGATCACTTGTCCCAAAAATCTCCTGGAAACCGAAGTGAACACCCAAACGACAGAAGTACGGAAAAGACGGCGGGATCCAATTACCAGGGCGGTACCCAATCAGTATGAAACAAGTGGCAACAACAAACACCACATACAAGGAACAACGACCACAGCAAAGGGCGTGCGACCCCCTGTGAGAGCCACGCGAGAAGCCATGACATTGCACACCCCATGGCGTTGTGCACCCCTTACAAGTGAGAGGAGGCGGGTGGAGCAAGGAGAACGAGGAAGACTCGCCATCGCTCGGACGTCCATTCCCCGTGCACTTCTCGATTTCGTGCGTGCATTTTCCGCTAAAGGATCAAAGATGTTGCTCGATGGTCCTCGCCAAGAAAAAATGCACACGTCCGCGCGGCAACCGCTGGTTTCGCCCGGGGCTGGTTTCGCCAGTCTGGTTTCGCCCGGCTGGTTTCGCCCGGCGCTGGTTTCGCCCGGCTGCTGGAGGAGGTGCAGGAGAAGGAGGAGGAGGGGGGAGGAGGACGAGGAGAGGAGGAAGAGGAGGAGGAGGAGGAGGAGGAGGAGGAGGAGGAGGAGGAGGAGGAGGAGGATGATAGGAGGAGGAGGAGGAGGAGGAGGAGGAGGAGGAGGAGGAGGAGGAGGAGGAGGAGGAGAAGGAGGGGGAAGGAGGTGGAAGTGGTGGAGGTGGCTGAGGGAGGGCTGTACGGAAGGAGGAGGGAAGAGGGTTAGGGCCCTCCCGCCCCGACCCGACCCTTAGGGCTCTCGCGTGCCCTCTCGATTATGCACCACCCTTTAATGTCCGACCCGCCCTTTAGGGTCCGCCCGACCCGCCACGACCCGACCATGAGGGTTCTCGCGTGCCCTCTCGATTATGCACCTCACTTTAATGTCCCGCCCGCCCGACCCGATCCGCCCGTTAGGGTCCGCCCGTCCCGACCCGACCCGACCCGCCCGTGAGGGTCCGCCCGACCCGACCCGACCCGACTGTTAGGGCTCTCGCGTGCCCTCTCGACTATGCACCACACTTTAATGTCCCGCCCGCCCGACCCGACCCGCCCGTTAGGGTCCGCCCGTCCCGACCCGACCCGACCCGCCCGTTAGGGTCCGCCCGACCCGACCAGACCCGACCATGAGGGCTCTCGCGTGCCCACCCGATTATGCACCACACTTTTGCGAGAAAACGTGAGCAAGGGGCCCCTGGGAGGACGAGGAGGAGGAGGAGGCGGAGGACAAAGAAGAGGAGGGAGGGGGAGGACGAGGAGGACGAGGCGGAGGAGTACGAGGAGGAGGACGACGAGGAGGGGGAGGACGAGGAGGACGAGGACAAGGACGAGGAGGAGGAGGAGGAGGCGGAGGGCCAGGAGGAAGAGGCGAGGGTCGGAGGAGGAGGAGGAGGAGGAGGAGGAGGAGGAGGAGGAGGAGGAGGAGGAGCGAGGAGAAGGGGGAGGAGGACGAAGAGGATGAGGAGGAGGACGACGGCGACGGCGACGGCGACGACGACGACGACGGCGGCGGCAGCGGACTCGGCGAGACCAGCCCCGGCGAAACCAGCGCGGGTGAAACCAGCGGGGCGAAACCAGCGCCGGCAAAACAAGCGTCGGGCCCGTGCCGTCCGAGCGACGCCAAGAGGAGGGAGGAGAAGAGAGGAGGGACCCGCACACGCCCGCCCGCCCGCACCGCACAGGGACGGCACACTCCCGCTCGGATCTGCGCAGGGGAGCAGTCGAGCACCACCCCGCCGACGCCCGCAGGGGAGCGGCGGGTGCTGCGCGCCTGACGTCATCCAGGGAGAGGGCGCGATCTGTTTGCGCCTGCTCTGGCCATCGCTCGGACGTCCGTTCAATGTTTTTTGTTCGGTTTCGCGCGTGGTTTCTTCGCCAAATGATTAAGGATGTTCCTCGATTGTCCTCGCCGAAGGAAACATGCACACGTCCGAGCGATGTCAAGCCTCAGGTGCGCAGCGAAGTCGCATCAGTGCTGCTGCAGCTGGCAACACGCAGCGAGGGCGAGGTTTGGTGGAACTTGCATGGGGCACCGCTCCGCTGGACCCCCCAAAGGGCGCAGCAAAGTGGCGACAAGTGCGCGCCGGACAGAAAATTGGACAGATAACGACGTCTATTTGGTTCGCGTGGTGCAAAGCCCCGCTGGACCCCCCCTCCAGGGGGCGCAGAACAGTGGCGGCAACTGCGCCAGACATGTATCTGCGTAGGACGAACTCCACCGACCTCCCAAGCGCGAAAGAACATGGCGACAGTTGTGCCACTGGCAACTCCCGGGGAGGTCGAGATCTCCTTGGGCCTGCGTGGGACACAACTTTGCTCGACCCCCATGGGCGCAACAAAACTGCGACCATCGTGCACATGACGGCACCCACGGCTGGCGAGGTCATCTCGGGTCTGCGTGGGACACCACCCCTTTGATCCCTCTTGGGGCGCAGCGACGTGGCGACGCGCGGGCGCCTCGCGGCACCCAGAGTGGGCGAGGTCTAGAAGAGAAGGGAGGAGGAGGGGGGAGGGGAGATGAGGGGGCGGAGGAGGATAAGAATGAGGAGGATGAGAAAAACGAAGAAGAGGAGGAGGAGGAGGAGGAGGAGGAGAAGCACGAGGAGGAGGAGGCGGGGGGGAGGGAAGAGAGGAGGCAGGAGGGAGGAAGGAAGGCAGGGGCAGCAGCGCTCTGGCTCACGCGAGCACTCAAACCAGAAGGGCGGGGAAGCCGCCGCCCGCCGCACGATACCCTCTGGGAAGCAGGGCTGGGAGAGTCTGGGCGGGTCGCAAGCGATACCCTCTGGGCAGCCGCGCGGAGGGGCGCGGCCGGGGGGGGGGGGGGGCTGCGGGCCCTCCGCGCGGGGCACGGGGCCAAGGCGGGCCTCCTCGCGAAGCCTCGGGCCTCCTCGCTGCGGGGCCGCAGCCCCCCGCCCCCTCCATGGCGGAGACGGGCGCCAGGAACAGAACACCACCGCCACCCTCGTCACCCCTCCCCTCCTCCAGCCTCTTCTTCCTCTCCCCTGCCCTGGGAGAGGGGAGGAGGGCCAGGGCAGCGGTGGTGGTGGTGGTGCATCACTGCTCTGAAGTCGGGCCTGTCCCTCTACAGGAGGGAGGTTCAAAAATTAGTCAAGAAGAATAGTCTGGGGACGAGTTTCCGACCATCCTTGACTTAGTGGCATAACCGCATGAAACCATTAAGGACCCCCCGGGGATACCATTACCGCACGGAAATGTAACAATTATGGGGGGCGGTTTTCGCCGAACGATATAGTTAGCACTGCGCAAGTGGAACGACAAAAAATAATTCCCGCGCCCCGGCTCGGGTGATATCCCAATTGGAAGTGGAATCATCGTAAGTGCCATACGAGTGATAGCAGCAATAATAATACTGATAATAATGATAATAGCAGGAGTAAGACTAACACGAATACTACGAACATTGGAAAAAGTTTAATAATAAGAACAATATTAATAGTAATACTGTTACACATCATAAATATAAGAAGCATAACCATAAATACGAATAATACTGATATTAACAATACTGAAAATAATAGGAAAAAAGAGCATGCGACTAGGAATAATAAGACCAACCATCCTAAGTATAAGGGTAATGATAACATAAGAATGAAAATAATAACGAGTTGTTCTCATTATCTGTCTCATCCTTGTCCGATGCGAGTCGTATTACCAGCCATGTTGGAAAATTGATTTTTGTTCCTGGACGTCCTGTTGGGTTGTGCATCCGAAGATATCGCCCTCGCCACGCACGGCGCGTTATCTTAGCACCGCACCCCGCACAGCATACTTACGACAGCTTGTCAAACAAGACAAGAAATACAATGAAACCAATACTCATACGAACAATACAGCTAATAATAAGACTATGAATAACAACGCGACTAATGAAACTAATACTTATAATAATAAGAATGATGATACTGACACGAGTAAGGGTAACAGAAACAAGAAGGCAAAATAAGAGTAATACTACTAATACGAGAAAGAAACATAATCATGATCCGACTAAGAATGCTGATACTAAGAAGAATAATAGTCAGAAAACGAATAAGAAAAAAAACTCTACTAATACTCAGAATCATAATAGTATTAACCATACTACTGACAAAAAGAATACTAATCATAAAAAAGTATAACAATGTTGTTTTTTTTTGGGGAAAGCAAAAAACAAGCTTGGTCTCATTATCTTCATCATCCTTGTCCTATACGATTTGTATTACAACACCTATTTGAAAATTTGATCCGAGGATATCGCCCTCGCCACCCACGGCGCGTTATCTTAGCACCCGCACCGCCAAAATGATTCGCCCCTCATCGTAGACACGGACGGTTCCTTTTCAAAGCTGGGCTCTCCCTTGCGTGGGACTTAATGCTGTTATTGTTGGTGTTGGCAGTGTTGTTGGTGCTTTTGATGTTAATGTTGTTGTTGGTGTTGCTGTTATTGGCCTTGCTGTTCTAGATATAATTTTTCTTGCTGGTATTATTGTCGTTGTTCGTGTTGGTGCCGTGCCGTAAGGGAGTCTTGAGGAGGAAGAGCAGGAGGATTTTTTCTGTTTAGCTGGGCCAAGGCCTCTTGACTGAGGCCTTGGCCCTCGGCTTGATCCGCAATGGCGAATAAGAGCCAAAATATTGCGAGAATGTCTCAGGCGGTTTGCTTATTTCGGCGAGCAAACTCGTCTGCGTTCACAGAAAGGTGCGAGGTGCCAGGGTGACCCCTGCTGGGGTGCCGGGTGCGTTATACTTTCGCCAGAGAGGGGGGGTCTTAGTTGCTTGATGCGGATCTTATCTTGACTATTTGTACTTTTTCGCCCAAAATCCGCATGTAGGGTTGTGGATGCCATGACAATGGACACTCGAACACTCCTGTCATTGAATTAAACATGTGTTTCAAATATGTAAAACATGTTCTGAACATGGTTTAACCATGTTCTTACATCTTTGAGGCATGATTGACACAAATTCTTAGACACCTGGAAATTATTTGGCAGCGTGTTCCCTCTCCATGAATTGACTTCCACAACTGTAGGGGGACACGCTGGACTCAAAACTACGCCTGGGCCCCCGCCGAGCAGGCCCCGGGCGCGGGGACGCCACGGGGCGTCCGAGCACGCTGCGGGACAAGGCGGCATCTTCTCCAGAGCCGAAGCCAGAGCGAGCACGACGTCGGGCAGGGAGGCGTCGAGACTCTCGGAATTCCAGCGGCTCTCTGGAGGCCGTCTCGGGCGCCGCGGCCTTCTCAGAGCGCTCCGGAAAGCTCTGAGAGCGTTCCGGAACGCTCTGGAACAGATCTATCCTCGTCCTGGCCCCGTCCCATGATTTCTGACCAGGCACGCCCTCCACCTCTGAGAAAGTCCGGGCGCCCCCCCGAGGCCCGGGTCGCTCGGCCGACGCTGGGGTACCAGCACAGTGAAGTCACGGCGCGCGGCCCGAAGGAGTGTGGTGAGGCGGGGGGAGCGAGACATGACTCGTGAGGATCCCTAGACCTCTTGCTTCTCGTCGTCCTTTTCCTCATCCTCCTCCCTCCTTCTCCTCCTCCTGCCTCCTCACTTCCGCCTCCCGCCTCCCGTCCCCTCCTCCATTACTTGTCCACATAGAGAACTCCTCCCTGTCTCACCCCGAGGCCAGCCGCAAGGGCGAGCCAGGCATCTCGCATGAGACTTCCTCACCACGTGTGACCCTGATGCTTGAATTTGATAGCAGTTTCACAGATGGAGGGCGGGTCGTTTTCAAAGTTTGGCACTCGCCTTAGCGCCGCCGAGCACTTTCTGCGAAACAAATTACAAGGGTTTCACGAATTGAGGGCGAGTCGTTTTCAATATGTGGATGTCGCCTTAGCGCCGCACACATTTGTTTTGAACAATTGCGACGGCTTCACGGATTGAGGGCGGGCAATTTTCAAAATGTGGCTGTCGCCTTCGCGCCACACACATTCGTTTTAACAAGAGCTTCAAGGATTGAGGGCGGGTCGATTTCAAAAAGCAGCCCTCGCCCTCGCGCCGCGCACATTCGCTTGAATCATGCGCAAAGAGTTTCAAGAATTGAGGGCGGTTCCTTTTTCAAAATGTGGCTCTCGCCTTCGCGCCGCGCACATTCACTTTAAACTAGCGTACCGGTTCAGGATTGACAAAGCGTAACAATTAAGTTGATTCGCGGTGTTGAAGCCCCAAGAATGGTGTTCTGGCACGACTCAGGATCGCCAATACGTAACAGTCAGGCTAACTCGTGCGTTGAAGTCCTGAGAATGATGTTTGGGTGCGCTTCAAGATGTTCACACGGTTGTCCCCCACTGGGGCGATTCCCTCAATGGAAATTACCACTTGTAGGGGCCTATGCCGAGGGACCTTGGAGGGAGGGTATATTCAACATCGTTGATGAGTCTTGGGTTTGTACTGGTCCTCATCCACCCCCTCCTCCTCCTCCTCCTCCTCCTCCTCCTCCTCCTTCTCCTCCCCGCCGCTCTCCCCCTGGCCCTCTCTGCTCCTCCTTGTCATCGTTTTTCTCCTCCACCTTCGCCATCTCGTCCCTCTCCCATCCTCCTCCTCCCTCCTCCTCCTCCTCCTCCTCCTCCTCCTCCTCCTCCATCTCCCCCCCTCTACTCCTCCTCCTCCTCCTCCTCCTGCTCCTCCTCCTCCACCTCCTTCTCATCCCACGATCCCTACCCATTCTCCTCCAGTCCTCCGCCAACGCCCTCCTCCCTCCTCCTCCTCCTCCTCCTCCTCCTCCTCCTCATCCTCCTCCTCCGCCACCTTCCCGTCCCTTCCCCCTCCCTATCCTCCCCCCCCTCTCCCTCCCCCTCTGCTACTCCCACCTTCCCCTCCGCATTCTCCGCGTCATTATTATTTTCCTCCCGCGTCTTCGGGCGACGCCTCGATCCTGTCCATGTCGGTAACTGTGATCTTGCCCTGGGGACCTGTACCGCGGGCTACCAGGGGTAGGAGAGAAGCGAGTTCCAGGAGGGAAAGGGGCAACAATGAGCGAATTCATGGAATCCTGTACCGATCTCTGGCCTGGCAACCAAACTCAGCGGGACTGACCTGTACTCCGATAGGCTTCTGCACCCGCCTGGACATCGTTGCTGGATCAGCCGGGTGCACCGAGCGGCAAAACGATGACGAGGAGGGATCAGCAAGAGGACAGGAGGCGGAGGAGCGATCGGGGATGGTTTTGGGAGAGGAGGGAACCGGCGGAGGAGCGAGAAGGAGCGGGCAGAGGGACGGGGGGGGAGCGGGAGGGGGGGGACGAGGAGGAGGGCAGGAACGAGGAAAGCGGAGGCAGGAGCAGAGGAAGGGGGGCCGAGGACGGACCGGCGGCCAGACGGGGCGGGCGGGCAGACGAAGGACGGGCGGTGGAGCCGAGGGGCGAGTCGAGGCCCCTGAGCAAGAAGCGGATCGAGCTCTGCGAGGGTGAACAGAGTCCGAGGCGGAGATCCCAAGGTGTCGTGCAACCCACGACCCCTGAGAGTGTCCGCGCGCAGGCACGACACGCAGACACGCTGGTCTCACCTCGTGCTGGGCCCCGCGCGGCTGGGTCTTGCTTCCTCGGCACTGTAGGTGGGCATGTGCAGTAGGAAGGAAATACAGTTGCCATGAACTTCACATCAAGGTCAAAGTCGGCATTCCTTTTAATTGAAATGCAAGTTTAAAGACAATTACAAATGCACATGTCTCTGAACATCGACATGTATGTCGTAATGCTGATCGACATGCCAGATCGGCATGCACAACGAAACGCAAACCGACATACACATGGAGATACCTATTGAATTGCACATCGAAGTACATTTGACGTCAATCTCGACATGCAAGCAGAAATGCGAATCCAATTGTGATCGAGACTACCATCGAAATGCACATCACATTGCAATCGATGTGCACATCTACATGCAAACTGACATGCACATACAAATACAGTCGTCACGCACATCGATACGGCAACGAGATTGCATATAGTCTGTATGGTAGCCGGCGTGGACCCGACACGGTAACGCACTGTGGAAGGGTAAGATTTGTGGTGCAAACAAAGTGGGCGCAGTATACGTGTTGCAAGCTAGAGGCGGCAACGAGGCGGCAACAGGCGGCAACGTGGCGAAGCCGCACCCACCCAGCGCACAAAGCGGCAACGAGAAGGCAATGGGCAACATTGTGGCGACACCTCGCAAAACACACCCAACGTACGAGGCGGCAACAAGCCGGCAAGGAGGCGGCACCGGCGGCAAAATTGCGAAACCTCGCTGGATCCACCCAACGAAAGAGGCGGCACAACGGCGGCAACGGGCAGAATCGTGGCAAAACCTCGCTGGACCCACACAGCGCACGAGGCGGCAACGAGGCGGCAACAAGCGGCAACATAGCGAAACATCGCCGGGCCCACCAAGCGCACGACGCGGCAACGAGGCGGGCAACGGGCCGTAACGTGCCGAAACATTACCAGACCCACCTAGCGCACGAGGCGGCAACGAGGCGGCACTGCGGCGGCAAAGGGCGGTAGCGTGCCGAAGCCTCGCCCGACCCACCAGGCGTACGAGGCGGCACCGAGGCAGTAACGAGCGACAACATGGCGAAACCTTCCCGGATCCACCGAACACACGAGGCGGCACCGAAGCGGCACCGGGCGGCAACGTGTGTGTCGAAACCTCGCCAACCCAACCGAGCGCACGAGGCGGCAGCGAGGGGGAAACCAGGCAGCAACGGGCGGCAACGTGGCGAAACCTCGCCAGACCCACCCAGCGCACCAGGCGGCAACGAGGCAGCAGTTGGCAGAAACGTGGCGAAACCTCGCGGGACCAACCCAGCGCACGACGCAGCAACGAGGCGGAAACCAGGCAGCAACGGGCGGCAACGTGGGGAAACCTCGCCAAACCCACCGAACGCACGAGGCGACAACGCGGCGGCAGTAGGCGGCAACGTGGCGAAACCGCCCTGCACCCATCCAGTTTTTAGAATCCCAAGTAAGAATCTCTGACTGCACAGGTTGAGTATGGTATGGTGAATACTTGAAGACACAACGCCCGTGCCAAAAACAATTCCCCCAGGTCGCCCCAGGGGGTTGCGTTGTGGCACTTGTGGCCGCCAGTGGACCAACTCTGCTGTGCGAGCACGCCCTGCGAAGGTGAAACGTTCAGAATGTTTTCTGCTCAACACCCGGAAAGGGCGGGCGCGGGCACCTCGCAAGTTAATCAAAAACAACAATTCGTAAACCAAGCGACGGCCAGCGCCACCCGACCGGCGACCCTGGAAGGCCTGCAACACCCGACCCGCGAACCTTCTCGATGACCGCCAATGCCTCCGAGGCATCCCGTGGCGCGATGGCCGATGGCCCACTCGTTACTAGCGTAGCAGCAAGCCTTGGGTTAGGCAGTCAGGAAGAATGTAATTCGAAAGGCGCGCAAAGACTTCACTTGACCCCAACCTTTGGGGTTTTCGGTATAGCGCGTCGAAGTACCCCAACACTGCCAACGAATAGCCACAAATATGAAAAGGCGGGCCGAGGACTAGGACATCGGCACATAAAAACGTGCAATCCTCTTATCCTTCGTAATTACTCGGCGAAACAAACATGAAAATACGGCCACGTGCACCGTAGTGTATTGTAAACGTTGGAAGGTGGACCTGATGGACCGCGGACCCTATTCCATTGCGCGCCCATGTGGCCCCAGCCGGCTTCGGCACACACACGTCTCTACTGGCATGAACGATGTGGCCAACGATACACGCATTACATCGTGCAGGAGAGGATTCACCCCCCCAAAAAAACATTTGACCACAGAATCTCGCAATTCGTTCTCTGCCACCCGGCGACGATCAAACAACATCCATGGACATGAATGGTCACTGCGTCTGCCGTGGTGATGCGACCGTGCTTCCAAATAACTACCTAATGAACTACTCCCTGGCCGTGCGGCAAAATGTTGGCCAAACGTATTGGCCGTGTCAGGCGTGCTCTTATGAAGTTCTGCTTGCTCATCCAAGGTGCGATAACGTCCTGGACGCATCGGCTTGGTGGGAGCGTTGGGGGCTCGCCTGGTGAAAACGTCAGCCGGCACGCAGTGGCGCCGAATCCATATGGCTCTGCACCCGATGGCGCGCATGGGCTGCATGGGCTGCCTGCGCACGCGCAGCTTCAAAGCAACTCGTCTTTCATTGCCACCTCCGTCGCGAAATGGTCGGGCAAAAACGATTTGGCATCGACAAAGTCAACAACACTGGGGCCGACCGCGGTCGCTCCTGTGCACTGCCGCCATCGGATCCCCTCGTTCGGGTTGCGATGTGCGCCGTGTCGACCTCGGGCCGAAATCCTTCTACAGGGCTGCCTGTCGTAATGCCCAGGCCCATTCTGCCTCAGCGCGGCCATCGCTGAAACTGAAACTCTCGGCTGCCGTCGTGCTGCCCGCGGTTCGCTATACCCTGTGGCTGGCCCATCTCACGATACTGTATGGTGTGTCCTACATGTTGTGGACCGTCTTCGTAACGATGCCGCAAAAAAACCCTCGGGACGCTCGTGTCGCCTGTCTGTGCCGACGGTCCGGGCATTTGACGCTGGATACGCGGGCGCCCCTGGGGTCCAGCGGCACGATGCGAAGCCCGAAATGTGGATCAGCTTTGAAACGTCAAGTGGAGGCGCTGACGTCCGACAGGTCCTTCATGGTTGCCTCGTGAAACGAGCTCTGCGACAGGAGCGCTATAGATGTTTCGTCTCCTGCTTCGCTACCACCAACCACGGCCACCGATGACCGCGCGAAGCTGGCTTTTCTCTTCTCGCCGGTCGTAGGCTCTGTCCTCGATCAGACAAACGGCCGCGCAACAGATCGATCGAATCCAACTTCTCGCGCATGTACCGCTCCACGTCGGCGTGGAAGCCGTAGTCCTCCGCCTGCAACGGCGGCTGGACCAAACGCCACAACGACCTGCGCAACCAGGCCTTCTTCGACGCCATGGCCGCCGAGCACGCTGGGGCAGAGTTGGAGCGCCCAGGGCTGCCGCCCCCGCGCCCCGCCGGGGAGGCCACCCCCAGGGGCAAGCAGGGCGGGCCCTAATTGGACGACAGCGCCCACCGCCCTGAAGACGCCTACCTGCCACGATGGCGCAACGGCTCGGCGGCCGCCTGGGAGTTTGACGCCAATTCCGGGCTGCGCGCCGATCTCCTCGTCGCTTCGTCCAGCGCGGCGACGGAGCAGCGCGAGGAGCCCAACAGGCAACGCCAGACACCGCGACGCAGTGCGCGGCGCAAGGTTTCGCCGCTGTCCACATGCTGAAACCCACGGCGGCGGGCTGGGCCGCGAGGCGCGCAACACTTTCGAAGCCTTGGCAACGCGGGTTGCTGACGCCATGGAGGAAGACGACGCGCTGGTCGCGGACCAACACGCCCAGCACCTTTCCATTTCCCTGCGCACGCGAACGCCCCCCGCGCCCTTTCGCCAACGTCGCGCTCGCGACCCCTCGAACGCACCGTTCAGCTCTCCCTCGGCGGGGAGGTGGGTGATTCCGCAGAGGGTTCCCCCCACCTGCCCTCAACGTGGGCTCGGTCGGCCACCCCGCCCAGGTCGCCGCCGTAGGGTCCGTAGCCTCGTCGCGGGTGGTTTTCCCCTCCTGGTCCCTGACTTGGCCTGTTTTATTGCGGTTGCTCCCTCTCCCCCCCTCCTCGTTTTCCTCCCGTTCATCCTCCTTTTCCTTCTGCTCCCTGCCTCGTTTGCACGCGGTTGCTTCCCCTCTCCTCCTCTCAAGTGCCCCCCTCTCCTTCCTCTGCTCCCTACCTGCTGTCTCCGCCCGGCCCCCCTTTCCACCTGCCCGCCCGCCCCGTCAGACCCCGGCCTCCCGCCTGCGCGTTCGTCGTCCTCTGCCCGCTTCTCCCCTTCTCTCCCCCCTTCGCCGGGCAGCACCGCCTGCCCGCGACCAACGTGGCGGCGCGCAATGCTTCGCCAGGCTGCCGCAACTGCCTCTCCCCGTTCCCACCTGTGGGACCCCTCTGCGGGCATGCGTTGTGAAGACGTCTGAGGCGAAACGGCGATTCTGGGAGTCCGGTCTCCTAGCTCTCCACGTCCCCCCCTGTGGGACTTCTGTGTGGTCCCTCTCGACCGCTGTTCGACCCCTTACCGTATTCGTCATGGGAGACAAACTGCACGACCCCAACATCCCCAAACCTTCTCAGCACCCAGAGGGCGGTCTGTGAGGCATGGCGCCCAGGCAGTCGACCAAAAGGATAATGCCCCGCCCAACTCAGCTTGGGCTAGCTGCCCGCCGGGAGGAGAACGTTCTGCCCCCGCTTCTGCTTCTGCCGCTGCTCCTGCCTCTGCTGCAGCTCTCCTCTTCCTTCTCGCCCCCCTCTCGCCCTCAACATGCCCCTGACCCACGGCTCCTGTCATTCCTTTTGTGGACTCGCCCGCCTCGGCCTCTCCCTCCTCCTCCTCCTCCTCCTCCTCCTCCTCCTCCTCCTCCTCCTCCTCCTCCTCCTCTTGCTATTCCTCCCCCTCCGCCTTCTACCGCGGCTCCCGTTCCTCCTCTTCCTCTTGAACAACCGTGTTGGCGACCTCGATCTGCGACATCCATGCTCCCTGGAGGGCCATCAAAAACCTGGCGGAAACATTCTCCATGTACCGGGCAGGATTGAACGCAGGGCATGCTGTGAGCTCATCTGTCAAGCATTCCGAGTCGTGCTCCTTGCGAGCGGCAGTGCTCCCTCCTGCGCCCCAGCTCGCCAGGCGATGGGCTGCAGGCTTTTTGCCGCGCGCGCCGACGAAGTCCGCCACGCCGAGCTGGCCCGTGGCAGTGCTGGGCAGTGCTCAGACCTGCGTGGGAAGCTGGCCGGCGCGAGGCGCGGGGCCGCGCTCCCCTCCGCTCACCGCGCAGTAGGAGCCGCTCGGCAGGTCCTGGGCGGGAGAAATGCGCAGACGCCCCCTCCCTCCACACACACACACACATCAAAGTCCGAAGCACCGAACTGGAGCTAGTTATTCCTGCTACTGCTGCAGCTGCACACTGCCAAAGGTGCACTGGAGGGGCAGAGGGAGGGGGGGAGGGGGCAAGAGGAGGGAAAGGACAGAGACAGAATGTATTGCCCAACCCAGCTCCTGCCGCTTCTGGTTAGGCCTTTGCCAACTGCGGAGGAGGGGAAGGGAGGTAGTGCCACGCCCCCTTCCGCCCCCCGAGACCTTACATCCTCGCGTCGCCCAAACAGCGACAAATATATGCTCTAGCAATGTTGGGCTCGTGGGGCCCTTACTGGGGAATCCTCTGGGGCTGTCGGCCAGTGCCTCGGGATAAAGCAGCGGCTCCCAGGAAGGGGTCCGGACCTCGGGGCAGCCGCGCTGCGAGCGAGCCACGACGTCGGATGCCTGGGAGGGTGCGGCCTGCGGAGTGACCCGAGCACGCATTGCGAGGCGGGGGGGTGTCCATACCCACCGCCTGGGAAACGACGTCCTGAGGACCCAGCGGGTGGCGGATATGGATAGAGCTTGGCCCCCGGGGGCCATCATATGTCCACACATACCGCCCGTGGAGGTCCGCGAAAATCGATCCCCCAGGCGGTGGTTGTGTATAAATCCCCGCCTCGAACGCGTGCACCCCGTGCGCCACAGCGCCTGCGCGACCACAAAAGGTCAGCGTGCCTTGGTCCGGCAAGGCTTCTGCGGATATCTACAGGGGCGGCCCCCCCGCTCGAGCAGTGCCCGGCCGCCTGCACTGGCACGGGCGCAGCAGCACCTGCTGCTGGCACTGCGCCCGAGCAGCGACCGCATCGGGTCAGCACCTGCGGCTCTTCTGTCACTGCACATGGGCGACGGAAAAAGAGAAGGGCCTTACGCAGGACGCCATGGTCGACCTTGCGCGGTGGCTTGCGCGGGCGGACGGCACGGCACGCCAGGCTGGAACCGAGGGCGCTTCCGCGGGACCCTACGCAGGCAGCTGACGCGCCAGTGTCGGTGAAAACGACCCCCTGTCCTGGCGTCGCTCACATGCCCCCTCAGCACGACAACCGCCCGAAGAACCGAGACCAGGTGCTGCTGCCATGGCATCGTCGGCCCAGTCCCGAGACATCTCACGCGGTTGGACGGCTCCAAGGCGGGCTCACACTCCTAGATAGAACGCCTGCCGGATGCCCGAAAAACAGTCCCGCGACCCCTCGTGATCAGACCCTTCCCTCACCATTCTGCTGTTGTGTCTCGCCTGCCGTGGGGTCGAGGCCCCCTCTGTCGGCTAGGGCTCGACTGGAACTCCAAAAGGATAGTACGAAAACGTACCTCGATCGGACTTCTGTGGCCTGCGTGCAGGCTCGGGAACCGAATCGACAGACTGACAACGCATGCGCAACATCACCCGCGACTCCTTACAAAAAGCTTCAAGGTCTGCCCAGCATGCCTCGAGATGCCGCAGAAAGCCCCCAAAAGACGCCCAAGGGAACTTGGGCACGAATGGGTGTGGTCTTGGGAATCCCGCCGAGGTGATGGGGTGGGGCGGTGGGCGTACACCTTGGCGCCAGGATCCCTACAGCACGGCATCACGGATGCGAGCGCTGCAGTGGCTCCCGCCGCCACCCTTCGGGCACTGTGGTTTAGGTCGGGCGTGTCCCCCTACAGGCGGATGTTGGGCGAAACATAAGAAAGAGTTCAAACAGACTCAAACATAGTTAACAAATACTCGAAAAAACGTCCCTCGACTATGTTTAAACTATTTTTGTCAATTTCTCCTGTAGAGGGACATGTCCGACTTAACACTATGGCAGATGAACACACAAAGGACCTCGTCCTCCTCTCTTCCGTCAGTCGGTCTCGGGCGAGGCGGAGAGGCACCCGGTGAGGCAGAGCCCCTCGGGGAAACATCGACCAAGAATCAGCGATAGGCTCTCGACCAAGAACCGGGTTGATGAGATCCACATCCCGTTAAGGACACGCGCTTTCGCTATGAGTGTCTGGCGTGTTTCGAGGTGGAGGAGGTTGGATGACCATGAGGGAGCTCCCGCATTGGCGCGGATAAGGCTACGTATTCATCAAGCTACTCGGGTTAGAGGATGTTTTATTCTCGATGATCTGGGGCACGTCTGGCTACGGTCAAGGGGGATCGGGGGCTCGCCCGGCTGAGACTGGGCCCTCTCGGGTAAGGCATGCGGCGTTCCGCTGGGCCCGTCAGGCCGTGTCTGGGGGCCTCTGGGGCCCGTCCGGCTGCGGCTGGGGGCTCCCGGGCGGGCTCTGCAGGGCCCGTCTGGCTAAGGCTCCCGGGCCCGTCCAGCTGAGGCTGGGAGGCTCCGGCTAAGAGTGCGCGGGGCTCTGTGGGGCCCGTCGGGTGAAGGCCGGGGGGCTCCGGGGCCCGTTCGGCCATGTCCGCTAACTCCCCCTACACCTCGCCTCCACGTCCCTCCCGACTTCCTCGCGCCTTCCCCACGCACTGCCCAGCTCCCTCGTGTGCGCCCCAGCTTCCCCACGCCATTCCCAATTTCCCCATGACCGTGCCAGCTTCCTCACGTCCGTCCCATCTCCTACATGTCAAGTAAATCTTCCCCATCTCCACCCAACTGTTCCCGTGCGCCATCCTGTTTTCCCATGGTCACCAAGCCTGCCCTCCTCTTTCCCGACGCCCGCGCAACCTGCTACACCCGGACGAGCAGTCCACCATGTTGTCATCGCAAACCGACTTTCCTCATGACCTTCCACAACTCGTTTGCGCGTTGGCCCAAACAAAACTTCATGGGATGTGGACTCCTTCACGGAATCGGCGATACATAGCTGATGGATCTGCGATCGGCTCGCAATGGCGGTACTGCACGGATGGGGCATCTGGCCCCTATCTGCGATAGATGGGCGAGTCGAGGTCGATGCGTTTCCCCTTGAGCCTATCCCCCACAGAAAGTTGCCCTGGAGCCTGCGCCGCCCCCCCCCCCCATTGCCGAAAAGGGGTCACAAGCAGTCCGAGCGTGGATCGACGGCCTGACCGATCGATAAGCGAACGGCAGGCGCTTTTCGGGCGGCGCTCGCGCGGGCGTGTCCTTCGGGACCCGCAGGAGGTGCCTCGGCATCTGGCCCATGCTGTCGAGGTACCGCCCGGTGCACGACGTCACGTACACGAAGCAGATGAGGGCCATGCCGGTGCAGATGAAGAACCCGTCCCGCTCTTGGGAGCAGTGGCCTCCGCGGGCGCCCTTTTCCCCCCCTGCGCCCTCAGCCCTACTGCCACTCGCTGGCAGGTAATCCTCGTGGCAGGACGGATCCCGCTTGGCTGCACAACAAGGCACTGGAGGCACACATGTATGCTGGGCGACTAAGAGCTTGCGGAGGGAACGCGACCGCCTACGCACACCGCCCCCTTGGAAACGACCCTGGGGAGGCACACTCACGGCACGAAGATCCCAACCCTAAGGCTCACACATCAGACGAAGGCCTAGGGGAAGACACCTAAAGTTCGTGGAGCCGAACTAGCCTTGCAGCATTGGCACCAGCCGTGCAGCTGTGCGGATCCTACCCTGCGTTGTGGCGAGAGTGATGGGGAAAGAGAGACCGACCTCGAAGCGTATGGAATGTAGTGCGCGAAACATCCAGCCTGGAAATCCGACATCGTGAAAAGCCGCCCCGTCATCAGCAAAAGCACCGCGTGAACTCTCGACCCCTTCTCTGCAAAGGCTTTTGCGGGCATGACTCAACGGTGATGACACAGCCCGGGACGGGTCGAAGAGGCCCGTCGCGTGTCTGCTCACAACGCTTGGATTTCAGGGACGGAGTCTGGCAACGTCTGCCTCCCGAGAGCTCCTTTCGTCATCAGCGGGACACAAGAAGCGCCGCCTTGACGGCAGCCTCGACTGTGCCTCGGACCCGGCGGCGCTTTGACACGTCGCCGGCCCAACGGGCCGGGCTAAGATTTCTAGTGAGAAGCTTCGATGTTGCTAATTCGCGTGGATGTGTGCGGCGGCCCCTGGGGGTCCCAAGGCGAAGAATACCCCAGGGGCGGTTCCCCGGGAGGTTCCCTCACGGATGCTGGAACTCCCGGGGTCGGTCTTAAGGACCCCCGAGAGCGCACCAGGATCGCCCAAAGGGTGCTCCAGGAACACACTCCAGTCGAGACCAATGGGCAGCAGGCCCCAGTATTGCCCTAAGATCATCCCAAGAGGCTCGAAGATAGCTCCACAATGGCCCAATACATCACCGAAAAGGCTTCTGGGAGCCCAAATTCATTGGTTGTGCTTAGGTTAATGAAATTTTGGCGCTGCCGCCTCTTCAGTTCTCCGACCGCGCCCAAGATAACCCAAGAAGCCCCCAAAACGCCTCAAGTCAGCCCACGAGGCTCCCAAGATGGCCCGAAGAGGCCCTCGAAGCCCCAAGACGGCCCAAAGGGACACCAAAACGGCTTCAGAGCCACCAGGAGGGCCCAAAGAAGGGGAACGCGAACTGAGAGTTCGAGCACTTTCCCAAGAGGCCCTCAAGAGACTCTCAGAGGCTCCCAGGAGACCCCAAGAGGTCCCTAAGCGGCCCCAAAACATGCTCTCGCGAGCGCAGGTGGTTACCCCCCCCCGCCCGACGCAAACCGAATACCCGACACAGCAGGGCAGGGCATCACGTAGACGACATGACCACCAACGTCGATGACTCTGGCCCACGAACGGCTGCGTGCATTAGCGTGCGGACTTCAACACAATTCTGTAGCCTGCTTCCAGGCCATATGCGAAAATCACGGCGCTGTTTCTGCCCACGAGACCCGCGTGCATCAGCGTGCGGACTTCAGCCCAATTCTTTGGCCCGCTTCGGGGCCTTGTGCGAAACTCGCGGCGCGATGACTCTGGCCCACGAACAGTTGCTTGCATCAACGTGCGGACCTCAACATGACTATGTGGCCGCTCCCGGGCTATGTGCGAAACCCGCGGCGCAGTGACTCTGGCCCGCGAACAGCTGAGTGCGCTAAAGCTCCGGACCTCAACACAATTCTGCGGCCCGCTCACGGGCTGTGGGAAACTCGCGGCGCTCCAACACTGGTCCCTCTCGTCTTCGATACCTCTCCCCCCTCTTCTGTTTCCTTCCCTTGCTCATCCGTGCTCTGTCTCCCCCTTTCTCTTCTCTGCCTCTCCTCTCCTCTCCCTTCTCCTCCTGCCCCTCTGCGCAGCCCGAGCTGCAGTGAGGCCTGCGACAACCGAACAGATTCTCTCACGCGCTCTTGGACGAATCCTTCGAGCTGGTACCCCGCGTGGACCGCAGAGCCCCCACGGGCCGATCCTGCGCTCTCTCAGGCCTCCTGGGAGCCGCCCGCAACCCTGTTGGGAGGCGCTCTTTGGCGGCCTCTTGGAACGTCTGGTCACACCGACGGTGGTACGAAGTGGGCCGGCGGAGTGAGCGACGCGATTAGAAAGGCTCTCGCTCTAGCGCCGCGCGCATTCGTCATTCAAGCCCCGAACAGTTACACACAAATTGATGGCGGCCCGTTTCAAAATGTCTCTCGCTTGAGCGCAGCGCAATTTCGAAGCGATGCCAACATTTGCACAGATAGAGGATGGTTCAATTGCGAAAGTAAAACTCTCGCTTGATATGTGACAGTATACGTTTCGTGCCGGAACTTCAGCACTGTTCAGCAAGTGCACGGATGAAAACCTGCACACTTACAGAATTCGCTCTCGCTTGAGCGTTCATCAACTTATACGATAAGGAACGATGAGTCTGCACAACAGTCAACAGGAACGACGTTGTTATCGGGGCTTGTGTAGGGACATCTGAAGAAGGGACTGGGGACAGGAACATGAATTGCAACATCGTTGACGCATCCCCTTGCTCTGGTCCGTCGCCTCGTCCTCCTCACCCTCGCAGCCCGCCAACGAGAACACGTGTCAGCCGCTTTCCTTCCACATGTGCCATACCACCTCAACCCCCTTTTCAATCATCCCTCCCCCCTTTGCCCCTCGCCGCCGCATCCACCTCACCCTTCTTGGGGGGCAACAAGATACCGCTACCGCCACTCAATTGTCCTCTCTGGTGTGCGTTCTGAGCAGGGCTTCAAGGTGAATCCAGCCGTGGCGACGAGGGAAAGGCGGGGGCATCGGCTTAGATTCCTCTTGTGATTCCTCCCCGTGGTTCTTGTTCCCGCCCCACGCGACACGCCCACGGGAAAGAAGCGTGGCCTTCCATTGCGATGCTGTACATCAGGCGGTTCCAGCCGTTCTCCCGCACCATGGCTCGGCCACGCGCAGAAGAGGGTAGGGTGAGGGGGGAAGGCTTCTTAGAAGCACCCCTGTTTTTTTTAACCGCGGGCGTTGTTTACAGATGTAGGGCAGGCGCCTCAGAAGCCATCCCCCCCTCCCCCCACCCCCTCTTGTGCGCGGCCACATAGCGTCGATCGTGTTGATCCACCCCTCGCAATTCAGCAGAAGCGGGACGTCGACGAGGTAACTGGGGGGGGGCAGGCACGGCGTGACCCACCAGGCTCGGGGAGGGGGGAACAAGCAGGGGTGGATGGGGGGGATTGCCCAAGGGATCACCCCAAGCCGACTCTGTCGGAACATGCCACTTCGGGGGACTTGGATGCAAGGCGGGGATATGTCCATATCCACCGCCTGGGAACCGACGTCCTGGTGCCCCAGCGGGCGGTGGACATGGACATCTTTCGGCCCCCGGGGGCCCGAACATGTCCACATCCACCGCCTGCCGAGGCTCCGAAAACTAACCCTCCGGGGGGTGGTCACGTGTAGATTCCCGCCTCGGATTTGAGTCTGCATGGCCGCCCTCTCGGGAGCACGCTGGCAAGCCTGGCTCCCCACTGGGACGAGCAGCCGGGGTGACGATGACGACGGTGATGGTGATACAGTGGAGGCCAGTCCACAAGAAACCCTCCACAAGAAACCCAACTCTGAGACCCCAGGACGTCCATTGATTTTTGGTGTGGGAGCGTCACGCTTCCCATGGCAAAACCATCGAAACCCAAGAAACCCAGGGCACCCTGGAGGCAAGCAGGGTGTTTCTTGGCACGGGCCCCCACTGTAGCGCTGATGACAGTGAAAGCGGCAGTGGCAGTGATGAGTATGATGATGATCATGGGGAGCAGCGATGCCCTCCTGCTGCTCATCCTCCTCCTCCTCCTCCTCGCCCTCCCTTCCCGCCCTCCCTTCCCGCCCACCCTTCCTCGTCCTTCATATTCTGCTCATCGTCATCCTCTTCACTCTCTTCCTGCCTATCCTCGGACCCACTCCCATGCCTATCGCCAATCCCCGTCCTCTTGGTCGTTCTCATCCTCGAGGTCCACGTCCTCATCTTCATCCTCCGCCTCGTTCCACCTCTTCACCGTCGCCCTCCTATTCTTCATCGTTCTCCTCGTCCGCGAGAGAGAGGTTGTCAGGCACATGAGCAGCATGCCAATGATCCGCATTATCTGCCAATAGTAGAAGCCCTGAACATGGCTTACCTGGGGGGGCGATGCACAGCAACAAGAAACTGGAAAGTGGGGCGGAACAAGATGCAGCGGAGGGTGAGCAGGCTGGATCGGGCTCGTGGAGTTCCAGCGTCGCCTAGAGAAGTCACGGCAGGAGGAAGAACAGTAGGCCACCTGCGTCGACAAGCTAACTCGACCGATGGGGTAATTCGACGAGAAAGCTGCAAAGCAAGCGCATTCGCAAGACGGGGCTTGGCGACGCCCCTGGTAGCCCACGCCAAGACAATTCTGACCAACGTGGTGTACGAGATGATGGAGGCATGCTTTCGCTTGACATATCACCACAGGCGCAATGCTATTCCGACTCCGAACTCGTACGGACCGCGCGAGCCCCAAACGCATCCATGATGCCGAATCCATGAATCTGAGACGGCACCATGCAAGATCGGCACTCTCTCTCTCTATATATGTATGCGTATGTTCTGCAACGTTCTGCATTTCGCACGCTGGATACGGATGAGCAATGTTCCGACACAAAGCGGTTCGGACTGTGCCCGCTGAAGTGGTCGCAGACTGACACCATGCGGCTTTCAGAACGACGGCCCGCGCATCATATGCCACTATGGTATCTCACTGGCTCGAGGGAACGGCTGAGAACAACAACGCGGCTGCAGACGCTTCATTCCCTGCCCGGGCCCTGCCCCTCCTCTGCCCCTCCTTCCATTCACCTGCCTCGCATTCCGCGCGCCGTCCTCCCCCCGCCCCCCACAATTTGCACAATGTGGATGCTGCTCTCCTCTCTCCCCTGACTCCGTACGGAAGATAGCAGGCCCTCTCCGCGTATCGATCTTCACGCTACAAGGATGCCAAACACGAACACGAATGCCTGTTACGCTTCACAGTCCGACTGCCTCCGGTGCTGCAGGATGGTTTCTCCCGCTGCAGCGAGGGCCTCGTTTTTTTTCGGATCGGCGCACTGCCCCCGTCGTCTCAGAATGCCATCGCGCTCCCGCGCGGACCACCCTTCTGGATCCGATCCCGGTTTCCTCGCTGTCACCCCCCCCTCCCCCTGTTTCCTCGTCCGCCTTCCCCTGGTCCGCCTGCTCCCCGCGTTCCTTTCGCTCCAGCTCCTGCTGCCGCCGTTCGTCCTCGCCCTCCTCCTGCGTCGTCATCCTCCGCTTTTCCTCCTGCTCCTCCGCCACCTCCTCCTCCAATGCACGCAGCTCATTTTAACGGTTGCGCATATCACGGTGGGGTCATCTTCGAAGTTTCAAGTTCGCTAAGACACGTGTCGGCGGATAGCGCAAGAACAGTGAAATGGGACGGGCTGGGTGGGAGAGGTAGGATGTCGGATATGGCGCGGGCGCACCTAGCTTGTCCTTCCCCCCTCAACCCTCCCCTGTCCTCTCGTCTCCATCCCGTCCCTCCCCTTCCCTTCCCTCCGTTCCCGCCCTTTCCTCTCGCACCTCCTCTCCCCCCTTCCTCCCAGCTCGCCACCTCTCCGGGAGCAGACCCCACCGCCACGCCCGCTCCCCTCCTCTCCACGAGGTTCCCGAACGTCTGCGCAGGACGTCCCGCTCCAGAGCCTCCCGCGCCGCCTTCATTAGGGGAAAAACAAACCTACCTCGCCCTCGCCTCCAAGAGATACCAAACGATGCCAAATTGCAGCCTGTACTGGTCAGGACGCTTGACGAGGAGGCGCGTGGTATGGCTTGGTTTTGCCTGGAAGCGAAAGCCGGGTGGGTAATTCACGCTCTGATTCATGACCTTTACAGAGACCCATGGGAGTTGATGGCAAAGGGGGACTCGGCGGGCTCTCTCGGGCGTCGCACCGTGGCGCCGGCCCTTCGGGGCAGCGGGGCAGCCCGGCAGGCGGCGGCCTGGGCTGGCGCCGCGGCCCCGCGCGCCTGCCGCTGACCCCCGGGGCGGGTGGCTGGCGTCACCGCTCCGCGGGTGCGTTGCCCCCGGGGTCCCGGCTCCCCGTGCCCGGTGTCGTGCCGCGCCCGCGTGGGCGTCGCCGCCCGGACTCGTCCCAGGGTGCCAGCGGCGCCCCGGCGCCAGCAGCGCTTCGGGCCACTGCGTGCCAATCGGCGGCTGCGCAGAACCCTCTTCGGCTCTCCTGCCCCGCTGTCTGCCCCCGACCGGCCTCGCCTATCTCTGCGTCTTCTACGGTACGGAACCTCTGCTCAGGGTGCCGCGGCGGTGGCCCCTGCGACACGCTGCGCACTGCATGCGTATCTCGTGTCGCTCTGCCTCGTGGGACGGCAGGCTGCGAAACGCTTGGAACGTTGCTGGAGGCACCAACACACAGAGGTTGCCTCCAGGGGGAAGATGATCCTACATTTCGGTGTTGGTGGTCCTAGTTCGGTCACCTCGGCAGCCAGAAGAGTACCACAATCACCAGATCGGGATCTTCTTCCCTCGGTGGAGGCGCACCGCCGATATTGGTGCTGGTGTCAACCTCTGGGCATGCGACGTTGTGAAAGGGAAATTTGAGAAACCAAAAGGTACCGATACTGCTACTCCCCGGGCCTCGCCATGGGTGCGTTCTGACCAGAATTTCGAGGCGAATCCAGCGGTGGCGACGAGATCCTCCGAGGAGGCCCAAAAAGGGGAAAACGGCCGAAGGGTAGAGGTATGGGTACCTTTTCCTCCTCTGAGAAATGGGACGTGCTTAGCGTGACCCGCCGAAGCGGCGTGGGGGGCCAGCAGCGGCAGCGCGGAACGCTGAGCAAACGCTCCTGACCGCAGCTTCGCGACTCGCGCGCCGCGCGAGGCACGGCCCCTTCCGTCTCCGCGCCAGCTGCGCGCCCCCCCCTGAAGAAGAACGGCCCTCCCGCCCAGGAAGCGACGCGGGAAGCGCCATCACCTTCGGGCCACCGCGGGGGAACCTGGCCGACCCGCCTTCCCTCCCCATCCCGCCTCCAACCCCTCCTCCGTCCTCCCTCCCAGTCTCCCCCACACCGCCCCCTCCCGCCTCCGAGCCCCCTCTCCCCCATTGTCCACCCATCCCTCCTCCCCTCGCCTCTCCTCTCACCCGCCCTCCCCCCCCCACTCCCACCCTGCGCCCTGCATCCATTCTTGCACCCATCCACCCCTGCGCGCCTTCTCATCATCTCCCCTCCCGCTACCCCCCCGGCCCCCCCTGCCTCCACACACCCCTCGCCTCCCAGGAGGCGGAGGCTCAGGAGAACGAGGAATCTGGAGATGGAGCTGCGCGCCCGGAGCACGGGAGGGCGCCCCGTGCCTGGCCAGGAACGAACAGGGCGCCACCCGAGGTCTGACTCCGAGCAGCCTTCCAGAAGTAGCCAGGCCGCTCGGGCACAGTGGGAAGAGAAAGGATGGAGGAAAAGAGGAGGAGATGACTCGGGGATCTCTGATGACCAGCGTGCTCAGAGGATGTGTCGAGCGCCACAGAAGCTCAAGGGTGCTCTGGAGCGCGCGTGCGGGCATTGTCGCAACCTGCTTCTGGACAAACGGCGACGATATGGCCGCGCAAACGCGCGCGTCCAGCGTCGAGCGGGCTCCCTAAACACCTCGCTGGGCTCACACCAGATACAGTTTGGACTGCTGGCTGACCAAGACGTTGTGATGCCACCCACTAGGTCAGGCAGCACACACACACCACACCAACCGGGCCCTCCTGCCCAGAATAGGGGTGGGGGGCAGGTTGGGGATGGGGGCTACATTTTGCGCCGCTTTTGAACAACATCCTCACAATCGCGTTTCGAAGCGTTGTGACCCAGCCCCAGCGGGGGGGAAGAGGGGCCAGGCGACGGCGGAGTTGCCTTGTCGGTCCAGAGCGGCCTCCTGAGAACGGGGGGGGAAGCTTCTCGGAATTCCGAGGGGGGTCCTGAGAGACCTTCCTCGGAGGCACCCCCTCCACAGCCCTCCGCGACACCCCAAACGCCCAGAGCATGGCCAAACAAGCCTTGCTCCTCGATCCCCTCCTTGCCCCCGACGCCCCCCCCCCGCGCCTGCCTCTAGGCCCGAAGGCAGGGGGCCCTGGCGGAAACGGGTCCTCCTGAGGGGGCTTTCCTGGCTCGCCTGGCTTTGTGGATGCCATAACAATGGACACCGTGACAGTCCAGTCATTTAATTAAATCTGTGTTTGAACTGTGAGAAACATGTTCCAAATGTTACATGTTTAAGACATGTTGTGGACATCTGGAACTTATTTGGCAACATGCTTCCTCTCCATCGATCGTCGTCCACAAGCCTGGCTCCTTATACCGAGACGTGTTCGACGGTCCCGGGGGCTGGAGAATTCTGAATAAGATCCCTGCGTGTGTGCCGCCGTGGGGACAAATCGGATTGGCGATCGCAACGGATCGTATGGGCAGAAACCGGCAGCCAAGTCAGGAGGAGTCGAATCGGCGAGAGTCGTCCAGTTCAATTGAGAAACTGAAATCCAAATCGGAATCCGAATCCGAATCGAATCGGAATCGATCGACATCGAATCGGCTCGAGTCGGAAAGGTCGAAATGAACCCGCTGGAAACTAGCCTAAATAACCCCAAATCAGCCCCGTTAGTGCCTCACCACCACTTGGACTCTAGACGCCGCCGATCAAAAAGCCGCCGTGGGGACACAATCTCCCCAGCCGCCCTGGGCCCAGGCGTCTCCGACGACAGAACATACCATCTTACAGCTTGTGCCGTCCTTCGTCCGCTTCGTCCAGAAACTTCCCAAACGGTGCAAATCGTCGAAACAGCTCTCCTCGAGTCTTGATCCTCCCACCTCGGCCCTCGGGAGGAGCTGGCAACTCCCTCAGTGGCGACCCCCTCGAGCCCCGACGTGTCTCCCCAAAGGGCTCGACCCCTCCCTGGGGACCGGCTGGCTGCTCATCCCGAGTCGTCCGTTGGCGGCCCTGGGGCCCGTCAAGGCCCCCTCGGGGGCCGACAAATGCCGAACATCTCCAATTGCCTTCGCAACGTGGGGAAGTCACGGTATGAGGACCAAGCTTATGTTGCTCCCATCGTACTTAAGGACCACATTATGGAAATAATTTCGAGCACCGGAAAAGTGTCGAAAGAGTGCCGAAACAGAGTCGGACGAGTGTCTCCCAGGGCCCGACGCGTGAAAACCCTCGAGTTTCGGTACTTGTTTGATGCTCGAAGTTCTTTCTGGTGGTCAAGGCTAAAGTAGGACGGAGCATCATAAGGCCAAGCATCTCACCCCCGGACATGTTCTGAGGTGCGCTCTGGCCATAATTCCGAGGCGGGTACAGCCGTGGCGACGACGAGGCCCCTGGAGGCCCCCAAAAAGGGCGACGAGAGCCCAGGCGCAGGCCTCGACCCTCGAACTCCTGAGCCCCCGCGGCGATGGCCCCCGCCGCGAAGGGGGGGGGGGGGCGCTACGGGGCGCGGGCGCGCGGTGGGGGCGGGCGGGCCCGAGGCCTTGACGTACCAGGCGCCGGTCACGCCGAGCAGCCCGCCGAGCAGGCCCGAGGCCTGGCACCGGGGGCGGGTGGGGGAGCCCTCCCCTCCATGCCTCCTCCCTCCCGCCCTGCCTGACGAGAGGCCTCCCAGGTGGGGTCCAAGCAGACGGGGTCGGACGGCCGCACCGCATCGCCAACACATCGGCGATGCATCGGCGATGCATCGGTGATGGCGATGCATCGTCGACGTCGGCAATGCATCGGCGACGTCGACGTGAAGCAAATCGGTCGCCACATCGGGCCACATCGGCGATACATCGGCGATGCATCGGCGATGCGGCGCGATCCTCCGACCACATCGATTCCGACCCCATCTAGGAGGCCTAGACTAATGGGAGGGCGAGAGCGAGAAGGAGCATTTCGTGGATGCGAGGGCGAAGGACGACGACGACGACGATCACGAAAAGCTAGACGACGACGGCGAAGGCGGATCAGAAGCAGGAGAACGCGCGAATTCCCTCAAGAGAGAGCCATCTTGGCTCAATCAAACGCTGCTTTGGGGATACTGCACTCTGGCTACAGTTTTGTGGCACCCTGGAGGCTTCTGGGACCCCCTGGGGGCCTCTAGAGCCAATCGGAGACCTCTCCAGAGTCACTGGGTGAAGAGGAGGAGGGTGGGTTGGGATTGTGTTGCTCCCATCGTACTTAAGGACCACATCCCAGAAATAATCTCGAGCACCCGGAAAAGCGTCGACACAATGTCGAGCGATTATGCCCCAGGAGCCAACACATGAACATCCTCGAGTTTCGGTACTTTCTTGGTGCTCGAAGTTCTTCCTGGTGATCAGGGCTAAAGTAGGTTGAAACATCACAGAGTTGGGAAGGTTCTCTTCTCACCGGTCGAAACACCTGCGAAAGATACGCACAAGGCCAAGCACTGGCGGGCAAGAACCGTCCGGCCCCCCGAGGCTTCCTGTCTGCATATTCGAGGGAGCCCTCCAGATGAAGAGGGCAGGATGGCGGGAGAGAATGCGGGCTGGAGAGGGGGGGGGCAGGATGGGGGAGGTGTGGGACAGGGCGGAAGGAGGAGGAGGAGGAGGAGGAGGAGGAGCAGGAGGAGGAGGAGGAGCAGCATTGCAGCAGCAGCAATATGTGGAGGAGGATGGGCACGGAAGGGGCTGGGGGCCGGGAGGGTGGCACAGGCGGGAGAGCAGGAGGCTCTCCTCGCTTGCAGGATCCCACCCGGCCTGAATCCAGCCGAGCACCACTCGGCTCGCCAACGCGTAGCCACCTCGTCGCGCGGATCTGGGAGCGCCAGACTGCGCACGAGATGCGCGTCTGATCCCAGGCGCCGCCTGCCGTCCCTTTCCTGGTCCCTCTCTCCTCCTCCTCCTCCTCCTCCTCCTCCTCCTCCTCCTCCTCCTCCTCCTCCTCCTCCTCCTCGTGCTCCTCCTCCTCCTCCTCCACCTCCTGGCCTCCTCCACCGTTCCGATCCTCCTCCTCCCTCTCCTCCCCCACTCCTCTACCTCCGCTCCCTCCTCGAACTCTGTCTCGAGAAGACACACACTTTGTGAACTGCTCATGCGCTGTTTGTGCCCCGTGCCACTGCCCTGCGGCAAGCCTCGCACGCGTGCGTGTTTGTGTGTGTGTGCGTGTGGTTATGGCCCTTCGCTCCGTTGCTCACTGCATCGCTGCCGCCTCTCCTCCCCGCTGGAACCTCATTAATTATATATAATACGGCATCCCTCTGGGCATGGGTGGCCGAGCGAGTAATATCTTCCGACCCCCTTCGTCTCCTTCCGGGGTGGGGGGTCCACCCCACCACTGCTCCTCACATGGGTCTCGGCGGGGGGTGGCCGCAAGCGGTCAGAGCGTCCAAGATGACACTGGATCGCCCGACGTAGCCTCCAAGATGGTACGATACAGCCCAACATATCATCCAACATGTCTACATCAGACTCAAAGACCGCCCTGAGACGCCTCCCATCGACACATTGCATGCCCCCGAGAGGCCCTAATCTGCCGAAAGCCTAATATTTCAATGTTTGTGGCTTTCTCACCTTTTTGTATCCGATGGGCCTCCGAAGCCTCAAGATGGCCCCAAGAGGGGCCCATCATGCGGCCCGAGAAGGTTCCCAAATATGTTGTTCCAGCTCCGGAAGGGCAACGCGAACGTGAGCCAATCCAGTGGAATGTGATCATGTCCCCTCGGCAACTGCATCTGAATCTATGCATGTGCATGTACAATTGTAAAATTTCATAGAATAGATTCACGTACATACAATGGCGTGGCGAACATTCCTTTGATAATTCGAGGGGCCGCTGGCGCGAAGAAAAAACATCAGCCCCTCGTCTCCCCTTAGAATCCACACCCGAAGAGCAGTGCCGGGCTTCCCCAGCGGCGGGCTACAGGCCCTTGGGGTCATGCCAGATGGAAGATATCACATGGTTTTCACGTGCAAGCAATTAACCACCCCAGCCTGTCTAGACCCCCGCCCAATGACCCCATTGGGCTTCCACGCGCGGCACAATTATCCTGAGGTCGTCCTGACATTCACCCTTCGGTGATTTCGGGCCTTCGCAATTCAGATGAAATTGCTGCCACGCCGGAATACTGGGTACTTGTACCACCGCCGCCGTGCCGCAGGCACGTCGGGGTATGTCAGATTGCCCCTGCGGATGTGGCCGACTCCATCCGGCCCCAAACGCTTGGCCTCAAGACCGCCGAACACATCACCAAAAAACCTCCAGGAGACTCACAGATCGAAAGATCCGCGACGGCCTTTCTGATTGACTCCTGGGTCGGCTCAGGCTGATCCCAGGCTTCAGCTTACCCGTCGGTCGGAAGTGGGTAGAACCATGAAGTAGGAATGCGTTGGGAGTAGATTGGGCTTCCGCCCGCCCCCTGAATAGGAAGGAAGAGGGAAAAGCACTCGATCACTCGATCATTGAAGTAGGAAGGCGCTTGAAGAAGATTGGGACCCGAAAATTAGAAAACACCTACTTTCAACGACGGGCGTGTGCGGCTGCTCTCCCTCCTTTGCCTCGCTGCATGCTCCTGCAAATTCCTGCTCGGGGGTACGACTGGGGCGTCCAAGGGCGGGGGTGTCAAATCATGTCCCGATGCGCGTGCGCAGACGAGGCGGGGACCATATATATATATATATATATATATATATATATATATATATATAT